TGTCGTTGCATGCCTCGGCTGGCAGGACTCATGCGACCTCGACTTCAAAGCACATATTTTTGCCACGCGCATAATCTAACCATTAACGTTGATGAAGGCGCAACCGAGCACCCTCATCATGTCTAGCAGTGATTATGGTAGCAGGAGCGGTTGATCTGCTCGCTATCGATCTGCTGAATAATGTATTTCGGCTGTTGTAGCCTTTCGGTGCAGAACAGCGAGCCGTCCGTCCAGGGAACAGCAGTCAACGTGCACGCATCAGCCGACGATGAGTAAGTGTGAATAAAAAGTTGTCGCAAATTTGCTTTGACGAGTATAACGCCAAAAGCCGGACGAGTGACAACCGACTCGCGCTTTAGACGATTAGCGATTTTGTAACTTACTCGCAACCGTAGTCCAACGTGTGCTCAGCACGACTATGCTGTGCTGTGCGACCGGTTGAATGATATTCCTCATCAGGCAGCAGTGGCCCATGCTTCGTTCATTTACCTCGTTCGCTTTGTCATCATTATCGTTGGCCGATTTGCAGTACATGAAACTGCGTAAGATTCATGATCCCCGCTGACTCGATTCCAGAGTTCCGCATTTTCATATGTGCGAAATATTTGCTCTGCTGGAAAAGGCAAGTTTCCTCCTCCTTAACACTTATTAACTTAAATTTAATATTTTGCAAACGCTTGCGACTTACTGTAAAGGTGGCTTCCGTACCGGAAGCCAAGACGTCATACTAGACCAGCTGTCGTGAATGACCTGCTGCTTCGAATACCATCTTTCGATGAATAAGTTCTTCCTTATGTGCAAAGCAATTGCTGTCGTTATAACGCGGTGCTCTCTTAATTAAAAGTACTGCAACAAAGCCACCATGAGATCCTCTTCGCCCGCAGTGTCACGAAATGAGTTTATGCACAAGAAATTTCGTCTGATCTTCGAGCTCTTTGAATGTCCTTGAGATAACGAGTAAGACTGTCTGGCAAAGATTTGGTGAGGCTTCGGATGGCGCTGATTGCGCTTCTTCGGAGGCGCCAAGATCATTTTTCTTAACTTCAACAGTAACAGATGGACAGATTCCATCTACAGTGACGGACTCAACCACAATGAGGCACCGGTGGTAGTTGATGCAATACGCTCAATAATTTTTTCGGTCAGTTTTGCTGATGTGACAAATCAACGGGACAGTTCAGCGGAAGATGATTTAGTCTTTCTTCTGGAGACTGGCCATAACAGCCTAAACAGCAATGAATGCCTTAATTGTTCTGAATGCAGCTTCTACGGAAGGGGGTCCATTTTAGCTTGTTTTCATGTACATTTTTCCCATGTCGTCTACCAGCTGATCTGTCTCGACATAAAGAAAGATGACTTACTCGGTTGGGATTCGATTTTCCGACTGCAAGTTCGATGCTCTAGGACTGTTGCCGAGATATCGCAGGGGCAATATAAAAATTGCGGTTCGAGTTTCGGTTGTGTCATTGGTTTTGATCGTCACCTGGGACCGTTTGCGTCAACATGCTGTCTCTGGCTTGCGAATCCGGTTGCATTCTTAACTTTTCAAATTTTCCTTTAAAAATTTTTCTACAACATCGTATATTTAACAGTTCTGTATCGAGTGCATATCTCTCTCTATCTTGTTCCTCCTCTGGCCTCCTAGTCGGCTGTTTTACTTCCCACCGGAGACACTTGCGGGTTGGAGTGACGGATCCATACTCACTCAGTTCGTCTAACTCGGTCAATGTTCATATCCTAATGTCTACATCTACTGAAAATGCTTCCTGATTATTTACATTCCGTACATGGCTCGCAACCGAACTTTCATTATACATCAAGGCTACGGTTGCCGTTGGTTATTCAGATGCTTTTCCTTGTCTTTCTTGAAACTGCGACCTCCACGTTATGTGGCAACCATGAGCTAAACAGGCACATTTTTCTAGAAGGACATTAATCTTCTTTCCCCAATTATTGCACAAACTACCAAAAACACCGGAAGCAACAGTGATCTTTTTTAACAATCTTATACGCTACTGTTTTTGCAGAAGATGAGAGATGACAAAAACGAGGCACCAGTTTACTTAAATGGTCAGCCGTGCTTACTTACCGTACTTACACCCTTGCACTTGCGGATCTTTTGAACAAAAAAATATTCCTCTGTCGTTTGACTTTTGAGTCACCATCATCATGCGTACGTGTTCGACGGAGAACCGTTACGCCAATCAGAAGAATGTTCTCGAGCCACAGTATTCACGAGTCAGAGGCCAAAACCGTGCAACAGTATGAGCTCGTGCTTCTTATGGTTGGACGTCCTTTTTCATACTCTGTTTCTTAGGAGCAAGGGAAACGTCGAGCGCGGTAGACCACTTTATTCCAATGTGAGCGGTCGCCTGCTTGTGAATCAGAGGCCGCCATAGGCTTCCACAAGGGCAGCTGATTTATCGACCGACTGAACAGTGGCATTCGCTTCACACCACTGGGTCGTTATGGCAACCAGTCAGGATTTTGTAATAGGCCAAGTCTTCGGGGTACACAACAGGCCTTCACGACGATCGTAGCACCTACAGGGAAGCTACTCCCATTGGATTTCACCCTGCCTAACGGTCCCTTTCTTTAGCCTTTGTCCATTCCTTGCGATAAGGACAAGAGGATGGTTTTCTAGGACCACCGTTTAATGCTAGAAAATGGTCCGCTTGTTGAGCCACACTGCATATGGAAACCATCAGGTGGCGAATATCGCTTCCTGTAATGTTCATCGGGTTTGCATCACCTGCATGCTCCAGGTCAGAAAGGTATTTGTGTGCTACTGTTAGCAGAATATCGGAGAGACACTTCTTTGAAAATGTGCTGGATATTGCAACAGCATAGACATGGCCTTGAAAGAATAGGACACACCTTTCAGAATAAATCCGCTTTGAAACGGTAATCAGCGCCACCATAAAATGAGTTCTGTGAAAGCAAAACCCCTTCAAATGGAGGGAGAGTAACCAGCATTCCTTCGGTTACAAATTTTCCGTTCTCCTTCCTTATCTAATGCTCATCTCGTGTCTATGGACCAACCGTTATAACGTTTTAATCATAATCGCCGTATCATTACGTTTCAATTCACTTCTATTTAATATGCTTCATTTGTCAACAAGACAGCAACAGGTTGCCCCTTATGGAACACTAGAAGCACGTGTGGTATACGAGAGTACGGACAAACAAGCAGTAAACCATTTAATCAGGTTGAGATGTTAAGTTAATAACGATGTAAGAATTTCTTGGGAATAGCCGTGCGTTCACGTCTGGGATTCAGTAAATTCTAGCAAGGATGAACAATTCGACTGTAGGCTTCCATATGACCGGAAACGAATCCGATGTTTTCTGGTTTCTGTTTTGTTTCTGTTTTGTTCTGGTTTCTGGTTGATGGTTAATTTAGACCGGTAAACTGCTAGTGTTTCGTGCGTATAATGTTTTGTTTCTTTCAATATGATTATACTAAGGAAGCTACCGAGCTACTGATCACTTTTCTAGTGATGATGTCTATCAAACTTGAGTCACGAACATATGAGTAAGAATATGCGAACCTTAAGCATGTCCTCTTTATGCCACTCTTTAAAGATCTCATAGTCTCTTGCATGTTTGTATGCATTTTAAAAGATCGGCTATTTTGCGCGATTATTCCATGTTAGTTTGTGAAATATTATATGAAATATTTTACTGAATAAGAAACTGTTTCTCCTACGCAGTTCCTCGTTAGTGCAGTATTTTCGAAGTTCGCAACCTCTTGCTTTTACACGCGATTATATACATGATTCATTTGTTTGACTTGCTTGATCGACAAGTATTTAGGGTCACATAGAGGGTGTCAGTCACCACAATACCTCCATTTTTTCTCATTCGTGCTGTCCTCAACCAGAATGGCCCTTGTACCCTATGGACAAATTCGGCGTATCTTTTTGGAGGGCGACCCAGCTGTACTTTACGATACCCTAGGAACCACTCCGCTATAATCGCTGTCCATCGGTAGCCTATAAATTTACCTACGTAGCCAGCCTATCGCACCTTGTTCTTCTTACTTTTCACGATGTCAGCTTTCGCTCCGGTTGCTGTCTGATTTCTACACTGTTGGTATCGGCTCAGAGCGAACACCCAACAACCTTCTGTTCATTGCTCTTCCAGTGACAGACATCTGATGCTCTTTCTTTTTCATCAACGATCACGTTTTGCAGCCATGCAATGTTGTGCTGAAGAGGCTGCCCAGGTTGCTGTGCTGGTCTTTCCAAGCGGGATATCCTTGATTAAGGGGTTGAACTGGCCAATCTAATTTCCTGCTGTGCGATATTTCAGCCCTTCTGATGGTTTCGCAGTGGGATTTTCCTACACAGATAGACGTAAGTTTTTACATCTGCTCAGAGCTTTCCGTTAGCCATTACTTTTGCTATCTGCATCAAAGCGACGGTTTCTTTCTTGGATGGCAGCCTCACACGTTGATGATATAGTGAAACTTGCAGAAGTATGCGCTCCGTTATCATCGCTGTCAGACAGCCAGGCGAGAAAAGTAATCGAGATACTTACTCTGAAGCTGGAAGTTACCCGAGTTTCAGGAGGTATAGCAAGCCGTTGCTAACGCATTAGCGAGTGTCTTGCTGTGATGGTTAAACAACACGCGAAAATCGATGTCCTAATTGAATATGTTGGCAAAACATCATATGCAAAGTTTTGATCGATTCACAGTTTTTGAGTTTAAAGTCTCATCGACTAAGTATGTCTGACTTATTTTAGGTTGCCTTGCTCTCAGAGATGAGTTTTCGTAAGTGGATAAGTGCCTGCAACTTGCAGTTTCGATCAAAGGGTGTGGAACTACTTTCCTAAAGGTGGAGAAAATTTTCAGACAAAGTCCAGTCTGAATGCATGACATTAAACGCCACTCAGTCATCCGCATAGAACAAACTGAATGGCGATGCTATAAAAGGTGTGCTAGTGGAATCTGCCCATATACGTCTACTTACTGATTTGCATAAAATTGCAACCTGTTGACGTAAATTTAGGTATTTTATTTCAAAGATCTTTCAAGTGGCTATGGTTGTATAGTTATATTAGTTATTTAGCGGTACGTGTCTTGCTACCGTAAGTGCATAGAAATGCTGATTGGAAAGTTGCATGAACGTTTGAGGCACGTGAGGACTGCGCTTAAAATTTATTTGCGCACTAGCAACGTTTTTCAGTCAAATTGATGAAATCTGCCATTGTCCATTCGCGGCGAAGCAGGAAAGTTTCATTGTTTGCTCAAGCATGCAAAAATTCCCAGTCTCGCAAGTCGAGATAATAGTGGTTACCATTGAGAAAGAAGTTTATACAACTACAGTATAGCAAAGACAGCTTTACCGTACGAATTTTGATCCATCGTCGAACCTTTAGCGTGCTTGTTGAGATCACTACTTTCGGCCTTTGCAAAAGCCAAACATCCCTGTTTTGTGACGCCCGCTGTATTCGCAGTTTTTCATCACTTTTGTTGTAAGGAGCCGGGTGCTGCAGGAACAATTCCGCTGTAAGGCATACAGTACTGAGTAGTACTGTAAAGCACAGCTTACCATGCATGATATGGTACACATTAGTAACGATTATCAGTTATAGCT